ATCGACCGGTTACACCACGAGGGCTCTGGAATTACACTACATCGCACGATTAAAACTAATCTCACTACTGTCCACTGACAAGCAAACACATTTGATTTTTTCAACGACTCTGGAAGCCAATCAAGAGTCGGTGATATATCCGTCAGCGGTAAGTTTGTTGCATCTATGGTTACCCAATCCAATATCCAGAGGAAAGAGGGAGTTCGGGTGACATGAGAATGGATCGATTTGGTTAAATCAAGAACGAACGAACGCCTCGGATATCGTGGTATTCCAACCATCGATTTCTGCCATGCTCTCCGCCATGCAATCCCATGTCTCTCGTCTGCGCGGGAGAGGCCGGTGGAGAAGGCTGTATTGCAAGTGACTCGCGGAGACTTAGTCTCGACTTGTCGTCATGCACGCCTAAATTTGGGCATCCTTCGCATGCTCTAGTTCTTTCGCTTGTGCTTCCTCTTTCCTGCTCCTTGCATCTCCCACACCACGACAAGCCAACGCAGGCCACGCCGGACGATGACCCCTTCATGCGTAGGAACGGCCGCATGAAGTCTAAGTCTGGTCCTGGTAGACACCTGCTGCGCCTGTTTTGACTGTGTCGTGCTTCGACGTCTACCTGCCTAAGTGGTTAAGTTCCATATACTGATCGGAGTGTTTCATGATCTTTTAGGCACAAGTTGCGTACGTCGGAAGGTTACTTGCCTCGCCCACGTCTATACCTTTACTCTATACTTTTAATTTATAAGATACAATGGAGGCCGCTGGTTTCCTCTACTATTCTCCGGACCCACAGGGCCGACAGCAGAAGCAGCACGGTCACCACGGTCACTTCTTAGCCCAACCGAATGCATACATCTCTGCTTCACCGCAGTTGCTTGCGCCAACTCCAATTCATTTCCCATCCCAGCTGGTTCTAGGTGGACGAGGTGTTCCTCTTACCATTACGCCTTCGGCTTCCCCATCTTTAATGGAGCCCTACGGTGATATGTGCTCCGAGTCTGCGACCACGGATCTTCTGTTCAACCCTGCTACTCCACCTTTGACACACAGTGCCGTCAGCACGCCGTCCCTTCCTTATGCTATGCCCACTCCAATCAGCAACCACGGCTGGTCCTCTGGGGAGCCTGTTATTGCCACTGTATCTTTGTCTGATATTCAACTCCCAGGCACTCCAGTTGATTACTTTTCACGTAAGTTTCATGAAAACCCACGATGAATATAATATGTGAACTTGCCTGACTTTTAAACCTTATAGCTATAAATTGCGTTGCTGCTCCAATCTTGAAATCTAATGCCAGCCCACCACCATCAATTTCTTTGAATGATTTGCACTGCCCGGCTCTTTCCCCATGCTCTTCTCAAGACTCCTTCAACGAGTCTGACTGCTGTGACCCACGGGAACTCACCATCCAGTCCCCCACTCCAGTCGAAATTAGGCCAGACATCGTCTTCCCTCCAATGCCAATGCCATCTCTCAGTGGTGACGATGGCCAGTTCCTCTTCGGCGGCAATGTCGAGTCTTTCCTCCCATTGTCTTCTAAGACCACCCCATATATGGCTGGTGACTACAACGAGGAACTCTCCGACCTTGGTGACTCTGAGGACGATTTCATTCAGAACTTCTCCGACTCAGTCTTCTCCAACAAGCGCATGAGGTTCGATGATGACTCCGAGAATGAGCAACTTCCCAGCCCACCAATGTCCACCTCTTCATCCCGACAGGGCTCCGTCGCCCCAACTAAGATCCCAAAGCGAAAGGTTCCCAAGGTCAAGAAGGAGCAGACCCCAGAGGAGATGTCTGAGGAACATAGACTGCGATCCTTCAAGTTTGGCTCCATGGACAGCAACTGCAGCTCCGAGCCAGGTTCCCCGTGCGAAGATAAGCACCACATGGTTGGACACCCAATCAGCCCGCACGTCATCCGACGAGGACGCAAGCAGTCTTTGACTGAGGATCCCTCCAAGACTTTCGTCTGCCATCTCTGCACCCGTCGCTTCCGCCGACAGGAGCACTTGAAGCGACACTTCCGATCTCTCCACACTGAGGACAAGCCATTCGCCTGTGGTGAGTGTGGAAAGAAGTTCTCCCGAAGTGACAACCTCACACAGCACAGCCGCATCCACGGAACTGGCGCTGTTGTCCTTGGTGTTTTGACTGAGGGCGAAGTCCCAGTCCTCGGATCGCAGTTCATGGAAGACGAGTCAATGCATTCCCCTCAACCTTTCATTGTCGTTGACTCGATGACCGCTGCTTCCGGTGAGATCAAGGACAAGTCTTCGGAAGACAAGAAGTCTCGCAAGAAGAGAAAGAGGTCCGATGAGTAAATTTACTATCGTGTACCCTTTACGACCATCATGACCATGCCTGATCACGATTGAACATGAAACCGGCTCATCAAGACCTTTAAACATTTTGCCTCTTTAGCTTGGGAAATTTTTTATACTGGGTGGTATCTGACTTTAGCTTTACAAATCGGAGTACAAAGAATTGCTTTCTGGCGTTACACAATCCAATCTTGGAGTATTCGGAATGGAAAATTGAATATTTTTTGCATTAAACAATTAACATCTTCATCTTCACACATTCTTCAGTTTTTCTTCTTCTTCTTTGGCTCGCTTCTTCATTTCATCATGTGAATACTTCGTCTATTTGTATATTCGATTCTCGTGCAGGAGCGCATGCCTACTTTCTTCTCTTCTTCCTCGCGATAGCGAAGGCTCATTTACACATTTATTTTTGACATCTTGAATACTTCTCCATTTCATATCCATGAAATTTTGCATTTACTTTTTCGCATACTTTACCTTTCATTCTTCTATGACAAACCTATTATCTTTCTCTCTTTCACACATTTTGAATGTTATGTAGCTAGATGGAATAATTACAACATCGTTTCCAAAAGTGAATACTCGGGATTTTCTTCAGCTTGGTGGAATTTGCCTTGCGATTGAGCCTAGAATCCTAAGATAGCACACCGATCGAGTCAACCTTTGCCCCAATACCAAGAAAAGCATCCAATTAAACATTTTAGCTTAACCCTCGGATATCTCATCATCCCAACGTGAGTTTCGCTTCTGACGAGGCCTTAGCGTAGAATCCCTCAGAGCGAATCGGAAATCGCGAAGCTTTCCAAATATACCCATGTAAATCTTCTGGTGTGAACGGAAGGCTTTTGCAATGGGTTAGAGATCGTTCCTTGGTGTTGGGAAAGGCGAATCCGTCTGAGAGGATGAGCTGACGCTAAGACGAACTTTGAAGGAATCACCATTCAAAGAGTGAGCACGCGATGGGGAAACGGCTGGCTGGCAAGAGTTTAACGTTCTAGGCTGCGGGTGTTCTTCGATTCTTTACAAATTTTTTTCCCTTCACGACGCATCGATGCAGTTGCCTTCATGCAGGCCTGAAACCTTAAAACATCTATAACGTAGGGTTTTTCGAGGCGAATGTCAGGTACATGTTGGGGGTTCTTTTGCATGTTTTCTGTCATTGAATTCGTGAAAGCCACTCGCACTATCAACGTGCTTGATTGCATTATCAACTGATGGGTGCATAGTTTGTTTATCTCGGCTCATTTTGCGTGCACCTTTTCTGCCCTTATGAAATTTACTGTTTTGGAACTAGTGAGACTTGAGAGGTCGCCGAAGGGGGAACCTGCCGTGAGTGTTGATGCTTGGGGCAAAATCCCAAGCTTCGAACCTCACCAAGTGAAGGGCGCCCCACCCTGCACGTTTTGCTTTAGAATTGTGACCCAAGAAGCAAAAATCACTCTCAAAAAAGGTACGAAATTTGATGTTCCCAAGCCAGTGGGTAGTGGGAGAGCCAATTCACCTGCCTGTTCCCACGCAAGATACGCGAAGGAAGTATGCAAAGTTATGATCACTGGATATCTGACCAACTAGCGTCGAAAGCCGAAAGTGGTCAACCAGATGCGAAATGGCAAGCCGATGCCGTTCTACCTTGGAACGAAATTACTTGTATATGACGATGAGACGACGATTGTCACGTCCCGTAAAGCCTTTCCCCATCACATTCAGACTAGATTTGTAGGGAATTATCGTCGTCAAATGACCCTTCGATCATGAATATAGTTCACATATCACAGTTCACTGCAGACTGTCTGGTCCACTACAGCGCCCTGGTATCATCCGTGGCAAGGCCCGCGTTCGGACGGGCCATCCATCAGATGGACACATCAATCCCTCTCCACTTCCCGGTGTCCCATCAGGACGACAAAATGCCCAGTTTCAGCAAGAGGCCGTGCCATTCCATTATAGTTAATATCACAATTTTTGGTAATATAAGTGAAGCAGGAATTAATTCAGATTGAGAGGGTTCTGTCCCAATTCCAACACCCCCGCAACGCAGAACCCTTAAGATCCTGTCTGATATGTTATAGTGGGGACGATTTGCACTATCACGGCCCCCACTCGGTCTACGAAGGTTTGGCTCCACTGTTTCGATCGATGTGATTTGGTAGTGAACTTTTCTCCGTGCTCTCCCCTCCAATCAGGATAAGTCGGCATTTGTGTTTAGTTGCTTAGGTCAGAGATATCGCGATCCCAGGAGAATAATTCCTAGGAATATCCACCTTACTTCGTCTCGAAACCCCCAACTGGGATAACCCTTCTGGGGCGTCCATAATAGCTGCTAATATGCTTCTTTAGATAGACAAAACGTCGTTTTAGCTAGAATTTCAAGAGGGTGATTAAAGAGACGAACAAGGGTCCGGCTCTGCAATTGCATGACTATCTTGTGGGTCTAGACCTGCACCCGATCAACACACAAGACGGCAGCGACGTTAAGCTGTCAAATTGACAAAAATCAAAGTCGTATTTTCTCTTTCTAAGCCCTCCCTTGCAGCCTTTTCTTTCTTATATCATTTTAAAAATATATATTTCCATTACACCGAACCTTCCCCTTGCTGCACACGAAACTACATACAGCAAAAAAATACTAAAAGGACAACTCGCCAGATGACGAGTTGTTGAACTGAGTTGTTCGTTGGAGTCAAAGGGGATCGAACCCTTGCCCTTCCGCATGCAAAGCGGACGCGCTACCACTGCGCCATAACCCCAATTGTTGGAATTTGACTCACGCTTATGCTACACGAGCCTATGCGCATTCAGGGTCTATGTGCTAAGGCCCCGCCAAGCGTGCTCGCACTTTCCCAAGCACCAACTGCAACTTCGATGTTAGGATGGATGAAGATAAGTCATTGCATTGGTGCTTGTGCATAGGTCTCGTCGCTTCCTTTGACCCGGAAACTGTCCCGGCCATTCACTTGTCCCACAAGGTAATCTTTTCGTTGCCAACTTCGAGCTCGAATATGGCATATAGTATATAGGTCTTATTTTAGCGCGTTGGGGTCCGTCGTGTGCAGGATTATTACTTCTTAAGACTGTCAATCTAGGATATAGGATGTAAAGCATTTGCTTGACTTTGACAGCATTACGTGGGTTTGGAATGATGATCCTACACGATAAGATGGTGCAGGCGCTAGCTCGCGGGTATTAACCTGTTGAATCCTGTGCTAAAAGATCCACCAAAGTCTTCTTTCATGATGGACTAAAAGTTGCAATCAACACGGCCTGTGTTAACTCTCGGGCTGCTCGATATTCCACAATATAACTCATAATATTAGCCCATTTATAACATGGAATAAAGGTTTGAAAATCTTCTAGATTTGGGGATTTTTCTTGCCATCTCCTAGTTTGATGCTAGCCTATCGCTTCGAATTTCAGGACGGAGGCGGACTCGGCATTGTGCATGAATTTCTCGGAACGTTTTCCTTCATCCGAGGTGCTGGGTTGCGGAAGTAAGGGACCCGGTGGCTTGATCGACACGGAATAACTCGTTAACGAACCGTTTACCGTGATTCGAACTCTGTGGGTGCCCGAGAGTCGAATGATCGTGGGCCGACAATGCAACTTCAAAAATTTTTCCCCTAGGGTTCGCGGGCGTGTCTTTGGCACTCAAACCCGAATTATTCCTCTTCCGAGAAGTATCGATACATCTCCATGTACTAGTCCGGATTACCAATGCATCATACCTTAATAGCCCCGTTTCAGAGGCCATCACACGAAAATTTCAAAAAACAGAGGGAAGAATATGCGAACGTCTCGATACCGGGCCTTAACAATGCAGGGGTGGGTTTATAGCAAACGGCAATATGTGACGATACTATAACATTTCAAGGAAATCCCTTACATACTAAGTGGTCGACGTAGTCTAGTCTCGAGGCCAGGCGTAGTCGAGATGCTGGGATGCGAAATTTTGAATCCCTACCCGACTAACTCTTCTAACGTTCCGTCCGCACTGTGACGGGTGGTACCTGAAGAGGCGAGCTAACGACATATCTCGATCTCGCCGCGACGCGACGGACGCTTTCCGTTTGCAACTGATAGTCCAGAACGACGTCTTCACACGGCTGATCGGCGGGCACTAGCCACTATTCTTATTGGGTGTATAGTACATGAAAATGAAGAGTTGATTGGTGAACTTCCAGCCGCCGGAGGACGGCATAGCATGCAGCTGATTTTAAGTTTTCTCTGCCTGACGAAAAATTAATAATCTGAATGATCGGGGCGTCGACGTGCCGTTCGCCATAGATGGTTATGCATCGCCGTAGACGCCTATGAACTCGAAATAGTAGTCGATCCTACAGAGTTGATCCAGAACCGCCCGGAAAGGTTCCGTGGAACTGCGATATCGCATTGGATCGATCGCAGCTTTGGCAAGTTTTGTCTTGAAAATATGGAGAAATACGTGTTGTCTGGTGTCTCTGTGGTATTTTTGCCCAGCAACACAAGCATGCCGTGACGATGTGGCGCCCTGGCCTGGTATAATCATAGAAGCAGCTGCCGGCGGCATCCGGATCACTTTGCGTACTACAGGCCAGGTGGCAATTTACAGCATACTACTCAAGTATTTAGTACTTGTATACGTGTATGGAGAGGTATTGAAAATGCAGTCCGCAATATGCATCTCGCGTCTACGTGTCGTTACATTCGACCCACCGTCACGTCGCGTTCCTCCACAGTTCGGACAATATTGTGGTCGATTCGACGTACAAACCTCAGAAGAGAAATTGTACTGGTACCTCGCCCCTATAAGAATTAAGTAATTGATGATTGGTAACGGCGTCTTGGGTACCAGAGCTTCTGTTCTTCTAGAAGTTGATGGGAAAGTTGTCTACAAGTGACGAAAAATTCACTGGCAATGGTTCCTGCGTGAAATAAAGATCAATTAGTTTCGTACCCACGGGCATCCGAATATTGTATCCCAAAATCACCTTCTGCATGTTGTCATTGAACATTTAATGCCGTGCAGCCGCAGGGCGGCTTCAGTAATATTATAATGTTGGAAGTCGCGTTCGTGTAGGGCCTATTCCGTCCAGCAGTATGAATATTTGAATAGGGATAGCCTACTGAGCAAAATATTAGTCGGCGTAGACAGAATACCATACTGTTCTGCATGAATCAGAGGCGTGACGAGGCTGGCATAAATGTACTTATACCACCATTGGCACTGCGACGTTGGGTAGCGAGTGACGGCATATATATATAATTCGATTCCAAAGATCCACGGCCGCTTATATTGCTACGTAACCTAGCGATTTTGCCACCTAGCTGGAATGGTTTCAAGGAATAACTTTAGATGATTCTTTGGATCCTGTAAAGCTCTCAATATGAATATCTGCTACATATCTTTAGTCTATAGAATGATGGAATAGGCGATGAAAGTTTCGACGACTGTGGGAGAGCTGGCGACACTTGGCAAGTGGTACCGAGGATTTCGATCTAAAATCCAAGTGAATATCATTTAGGATCCAATCTTAGCCTTGGAACTGGTAGCATCGGTCTTTCAAGCGCCAAGATACCGGGTGCAAATTAATTGATCGGACCTGAGCATGAGGTCCGTTCCGATTGTCGCTTGAGGCCGAGCGATTAAGCAGCTTTCAAGATGAGGGCGTGACTGGTACATGGCGAAGGAATGTCTTCCCCATAATTTTAATCCCGGCGTAGTCTCGAAGCATAGTTATAGGCACCGAATCTAATATATACACGGAGCAAAATATCTTCTTAGCTTGCCTCTCAATCAGGGTGGTCTATAGATCTACCGCCCAGTTACCCCCCTTGTCAGGAGATCTAGATTCGAGTACAGTAGTCCTAGGAATTCCGGAGTTAGGAAGACGATCTAACTCTATCACAGAATAGATTGGGCCGGTTTGATATATGACTCTTGCTGCTCTCTAGAACACATCGGCGTGATACTAATGGAAGCACAGCGGAAAGATGTCGAGGCTCTCGAGCTCGTCCGGATGCACTGCAGCTATCGTTTAGGAAGGAGACCAAAAGCGGATAGGATCTAACCGCTTTTGGGAATAAACCACAATGCAACATTTTCAACACAAATTTATCGCATTAGTAGGCCGCGGAATGCGGCGCAAGACTGGTAGTATCTTGGGGTTTAATAGGCCACATATAGAGCTAATTTCGCTCTATAGGGAGGAACCTGGGTAGATGGCTATTCTGTTAATGACTTGGCACAAAGATCTGGAGAATATCAGTGCGAAATAGCTTGACTGAAAGTCTGAGCAGCTTCAATGCTAACTGGCCAATGGTGGTAACAAGGGAGACGATTCAGTAAGTCAGACAAAGCGCTCAGTGTGTTCTTTCTAGCGGATATCGGTCAAGAGATACTTCATATTACATGTACACGTAGCTGTATAGTTGTCCAATATAAACTTCAGGTACGAGAACCTGCCAAAGTCTTAAGCTTATGTCTCCGGGTACTCGATTGCCATAATCTCTGCATCCTTACAACTAAACTCGTCTCTAGAATCTCTCTTCAACCTCTCTTCAACCTCTCTTCAACCTCTCTTCAACCTCTCTTCAACCTCTCTTTAACCAAATATTTACCCAGCCTTGCTATCAGAATCCACCGATAATTTTCTGTTTCCCATCAGGATCTTGTCGGCTTACCTGGCCGCTTCGTCTGAAAGGGCCCACAGGACCATTTCCTCTCTTCGGCTCATCATTTTCTTCGCTGAGTATTCTCTCTTCAGATTTTGCTCGTGGTGGCTCTCTTCCTCGAACCTTCACTATGTTTACCTACCGAAGGCATCGTCATACTCTTACACCAGAGGATGTGAAGTTGTCGATACGGGCTCTCGAGAGAGGGGAACTCGTCGTGCAACCTGCGCCTAATCCGCGGCATCCAGCTAGTAAACCTCCTAGGGCTCACGCCAAACGAGGTTCTATCAGCAAATTACATACAGGGAAGTCAAGGTCCCATTCATTCCATGGGCCGTGGACTCCAAAGCGAGGATCATTTACGGCGAACGGAATCCCCAGGAACGTACCCTTTCCAGCCAGCCAAGCTCCGGGGGCTATCCAGTCGACCCAGTATCCCGCGTTCGTACAATGGTCGGCAACTCATACCACCGGAATCCCTCAATATGCGGGCCATCCTCAATATACCGGGAACCCATACCAGGGTCCTGTATATATACCAACTGGATCAACTAGTGTCTTCGGTACCGCACCAAGGACATCAGGAGGGACAGTTCCGGCTTGGGCGGCTGCTAAGGAGAATTCCCCTCATCCCTCGAATAGCATATATGGATACGGGCCGAGTAGTCTCGTGGTTGGTGGCGGGGTCAATAGCCAGAGAGGTCTCATCACTGTTGGGAAGGGTCTCTCAGCACCTCCGCCAACCCCCACCAACAACACCACCAGGCAGGGCGTGCCACACCGACAACTACAACTACATCACGGTCACCAACAAGACACAACAAAGAACCATCCTCATCTGCCAACCGTCCCTCTTCCCTTCCACTTCAAGCCTCCTGTCCTGCCTGTCTACAACCCTCCATCCGCGTCCGAGACGTCACCACTCCCTGCTCAGAATCAGCCCACGATGGGCATGGTGAGGTCATATGGCATCTCCTGGACGCCAAATATAAACGGTGCTGAAGTAGTTCCTGCTCAAACGGCAGCTTCTGTTCCCGTCGAACCCCCTTTGCCTCTGGTTGCTAAAGAAGACTCTGACGACTCGTGCGACTCCCTCTTC